CTGAGGCATTGTAGTAATTCCCACAGAGATTGATACCTATTTTAAAAAAAAGGAAGTTTCAGTTGATAAGACTTTTATTGTAACGAAGAATAAAAATACCATTGACTGAACTCTTTACATGCTACTTATAGTTTAAACCCCCACAAAACAGAACATACCATTATTTATTTTGCACAATCAAAACACACACTTCATAGATTTACTCTACACTCCTCTTTAAGTCAACATTCCAAGGTGATTCTTCACTTGCAAGGGTTTATTTCAATCCTTTTCCTTTCTCAACCCGAGAACTTCTAATCTGAGGGCTGTCTTGCACAATGCAGTTTGTCCCCTGAAGATTCTTCCTTTCAAACAGTCTAGGTGAATCTTTCAGCTTATTTTAACTCTTTTCAATTCAAGCCCGAGCTCCCATCTGCATTCCTGCATGGTGAACCACAGCATCAGTTGCTCTCTTTTGCTCCCTCCCAGATCCTTGCTGACTACATGCATCTGAGAGTTTCAAATTTTTTTCTTAGAAACCTTTCCCCTCTCAAAGTCATCTGCAAGGCAGTATCAATCTTATGGCTCCAGTATCCAGTCAGAAAGGCTGATGAGCTATGCTTGAGACCCCAACTCTCTTTACTCTGAGAAATAAATGGACATTTAAACAGCAACCCTTTACAACTTTCTCTTCTGGGAATTTGGAGACTCAACAGTATATTCAACTTAACACAGGTTGCTGTCAACATCTCCAAGCATGAATATCTTGCACTTTCCTCTGAGTCTTTTTAATATCTAGCAATCAAACCACACAAGGATTGTTGTCAGGCAAACTTCAGGACAGGTCATATTTTGTTGTTTTTATTCACAGGATGTGGGCATCACTGGCTGGGCCAGCATTTATTGGCAATTTCTAATTGCCCAGTGGGCAATTAAGAGTCAACCACATTGCAGTGGGTCTGGAGCCAAGTACGCCAGACCAGGTAAGGGTGACTCTGTTTCCATCTCTAAAGAACATTAGTGAACCAGGTGGGTTTTTCTGACAATTGGCAATGGTTTAATGGTCAATTCCAGATTTTGATTGAACCCATTCTGGGATTTTAACCCTGATCCTCAGAACATTACCTGGGTCTTTGGATTAATTGCTTAGCATAATAGCACTAGTCCATCACCTCCCCTAAATGATTCCCTTCACATTTTATATTAAAGATACAGTTCTGAAACAAAATGATCTTAGAAACTTTAGAATTCGAACAATGTATAGTGTCTGCTACACCCTCTGCCTGATAATCAATTCCAATGAGGATGATTGAATTTCAAAGTCATTATCTCTAATATGGACCCTCTATTCAATAATTTCCCACAATATTTGTGAAACTATCATTGGATGAAAAGATCATTTGGTGTTACAATAAAGATAAGTGCCCCTTCTATTTTAAAAGTGCTGTTCATAGGCATTTAAGTTTGTTTTAGTGCGAAGAATGTTTTGATAGCAGCTGGCAATGATATGTCATTTCTTGAGAAGATGAGTGAATACTCAAATATTTTCAAATGCCTTTGTCATTTCAGCCTTTCTAGTTTTCAAAGGTACTATGGAAATGAAAGTTCCTTCTTTTACCTTTTACTTGATTGAATCCATGTATTGACCTACAGTCATAGCTTCATTTAAAGTAGTGTTACAGATCTACATTTTCAACACCATTTTTTTTTTTTTTTTTTTTTTACTTGTAATCGTTTATTATCTTACCTCAACCATGTTTTATAGTCTTTTAACTTAATTCCCTTATCTGTGGAATAATAATCATCATCCATCGCCAAATCACCACCAATACATCGACAATTCCACAATAACCAGAACTGAGCACAACTGTGTGCTCGGACCAGTGCATTATACAGTCTAAATACAACTTGTTCCATCTTGCAAGATACGAGTCAGCACTCTTATTTGCCTCATTGATAACTGCTCTGTTATTTTTGGAGGCAAATAAAGTATCTTCAATAACAAAAGCAGAAATTGCTGGAGAAACTCATCACAACTGGCAGCATCTGCGGAGAGAAAGCAGAATTAATGTTTCGGGTCCAATGATCTCTCTTCAGAGCTCATCTCCAATGTTAGTCCGATTTTACTTTACCAATTGAAACCCTCATTCATGACTCATCACATCCAGGTTTATTTCAATACTCATCTGGCTATCCTCCCACATTTCTAGCTCCATAAATTTCAGCTTTTTGGGAAATAATAGTGTCGTGGTCATGTCACTGGAGTACTGTCTCAGAATCATGGGCTAATGTTTTCATGGTATGGGTTTGGATCCAAGCTGTGACAGATGGTGAAATTTAATAAATGTTTGGAGTTAAAAATAAAACTAGCCTAATGGCAACCATATAACCAACACAGTTGATTGACATAAAAACCCATCTGGTTCACAAATGCACTTTAGGGCAGGAATTCTGTGTCCTTATCTGGTTTGGCTACATGCAACTCCAAATCCACAGCAACTGGTTGATCTTATCTGCCCACTGGGCAAACTGGGATAGGCAACACGTGTTGGCCTTGCCAGTGGTACCCACATCCCATGAACACATTTTTAGAACAGTTCATTCAAAATCCTACTGCCCATCTCACACCCAGTTCTCTGTTCATAGCTATGAAGTGTCTTCTAAACATTCAAAACTTCAAATATAATATACTCACCCTCCTATTCAAAACTTTCTCTCCTGATTTATGTAACATTTTTCAACATTCCAACCTCTGTGCTTCTTTGACACTGGTCTTGTACATCCAAAAGTGCTCACAACACAATTAGTCTAATAAAAACTGAAAGAACTGCGGGTGCTGTAAATCAGGAACAAAAACAGAAGTTGCTGGAAAAGTTCAGCAGGTCTGGCAGCATCTGTGAAGAAAAAATCAGAGTCAATGTTTCGGGTCTGATGACCCTTCCTCACAACACTACATTAACCAATCAGTTTAATGTAGTGTTCAAAAGGAGGAATAGTTAATAAGATCTAAGATATGGGAACGCTGCATTTCAAGATGCTAAGACAGAGACTGCCAGAGAAAATTGAACAAAACTATTAATGGGCAAGATAATCAATAGGAGATAAGTAAGAGGCAATGGCCTAGTAGTATTAATCGCTGGACTGTTAATACAGAGACCCGGATAACATTCTGGGGACCCGGGTTTGAATCCCGCCAGGGCAGATGGTGGAATTTGAATTCAATAAAATATCTGGAATTAAGAATCTAATGATGACCACGAAGCCATTGCTGATTGTCATAAAACCCACCTGGTTCACTAATGTCCTTCAGGGAAGGAAACTGCCATCCTTACCTGGTCTGGCCTACCTGTGACTCCAGACGCATAGCAATGTGGTTGACTCTGAACTGCCCTCTGGGCAATTAGGGATGGGCAATAAATGCTGCCCAGTCAGCGACATCCTCATCCTGTTAATGAATATATGAATAAATAATAAAACAACAAATTCATAAAATGGAACCAGTCAGTATTCCTAAGGGGCAACAGCTCTACTAGCCAAAATGATGGCCACAAATGAATATATGAATTAGGGGCAGACATGGGCTATTTAGGCCCTTGAACCTGCTCCACTATTCATTAAGATCATGGTCAATCTGTCTATGGTTTCAGCTCTCCTTTCCGTGTGCCTGCATACCCTTTGATTATCTATCTATTCTGTCTAAAAATCTACCTAATGCATCAAATGAATCATCTTCCACTGCTCTCTGGCAGAGATAACTCTAAAAAGTAATGACCCTTAGGGAAAAAAAATCTCTATATCTCACTCTTAAATTGGATACTTCTAACTTTAAAACTGTTGTCCCATGGGTTAAATTATCCCGCACAGGAAAACGTTCTTTTAGCACCATCTTGTCAAGTCCCCGAAGAATTTTACAGTTTCAATAAGATTACCTTAATTTTTTTAAACTCCAATGAGTACAAGCCCAACCTTTCCTCATAGGCTAACCCCTTATTCCTAGGATAACTAATGATGTAAGGGATAGCATATAAGCAAAAAGAAATGGCATAAAAAAGAGAAAAAGTCAGATCGTCACAATGGGCAAGATGTAAATAACAGCAAAGGATGCCAAAGAAGAAAGCAAGAATTAAAAAAATGGGAGCACAAAATGGAAATTGAAAATGATTATCAAAACCAATCCAAAAAGATGATCTGGACTAATGTGAGTACCGTGAAAACTAATAATGATGACAATGTCAGTAAAAAGGTACAGGGTTAGACAGAAACAGCAGCAGAACAGGATTTATTGCTGACAAGCTGGTAGAAGCACAAGGAATCAAATGACCTCCTTGTGTGCATATCAATGTTAGGGTGAAGTTCTGAACATTTTATTTCTTTATTTTTCTAATTTACTCCTATGACTATAATGCTGGACAATTTATTTCTTTACTTTTTTAACTTATTTTTGTTTTCTAAGTATCTGTACTTGCGTACTTTCGTACCCAAGATGGCACTGTAATGCAACGACTTTTAAATTTTTCACTGTGCTCATTTGAGTACACGTGACAATAAAGCTAAAACTATTTCATTCATTCAGGCTCAGTCTACTTATCCCCTATCTCTGCTAGTAGCTCTGGTCAAATTAAGCTTGGTAAAGACATCTATACCACTGCAAACAATACAGTAATGTTTTAATTAAAATTTTGTCAAGGTGTTTTCGGATGTCAACATATGCCATGTCATTCTGCTATCTGCAATCCACATCAAATGTCAGCACCTTCAACAGAGAAGGGAAGAAAGACCAAATTGAAAAAACTTAATCCTTTTGATGACAACAGGTGGCAGATATGTGGACAGATCTTTTTGTTTTCTCCAATAAACACAAGAGGAAACAACTCAGATGTTTTTAATTACTGAACATCATTTGATCACAACATGAAGCTCCAAATATCAGGGAACTTTAAGGAAGGGGTACTGAAGCATTCACATATCACAATATGCTTTCTCTTGAGAACTTAAACACATTTACTTTTCAGACACATCCATATCATTGAAATATTTTATTCATATTCGGAAGACATCTGATGCTACAAAAGGTAGCCACAGGAACAATTTATATTAACTTGCTTGCACTGATATACTTGGTTTCACAATTGTTTAAAGAACTGTAAACATGAAAAAGGCCATAGAAGAATGAAACAAACATGTTTGGGCAGTCATGTTCTAGCATGATAAAAATCAGTTTTATAAAAAGAAAATAATTGTTGAAACAGAAGAGGAATTATTAAAAATCTGAGTTAAGAAAGATTATTTATCCACGAGAATAATTAATATATTCACCTGCTACATTCTATGCATGCCCAGACTAAGCTGGCTGCAAGTTGACTTCCTTAGCAATATTGAAGATTAAGGCTTTTAAGACAGCACCAATGTGATTAGGTCTGTGGCTGGACAAGCAATGGTGCTGTTTTAATCAATTTGAAGATTAAGGCAAAGGCTAAGCTCCTTCTTGCAGTAAATGAAGGTTACAAAGATGTTCAAAAAACATTTTGTACCATTAGAATATTCAAGCTTCAAAATTCTTAAAAAAAACACTTAGTTTTTCACAAAAATTTCACATTAAGCAATGATATTAGCATGCAAGGGCTTTCTGGAGTAAGCAAATAATTCCACAATTTTGTAAAAATGTGTCATGTACAAACTTTTCTATAAATCCATCCCTGAAGATTGTTTGAATGTATTGAAAATTATTTATGTTCGTTCAATCATTGTGTGAGATACAAATAGAAAATTTATCATTCTAAAATTAGTGGAAACATGTGATTGGGGGATACAGTATAAAGAATGATCATTAATGTGTAATGTCCTTCATTCTGTTATTTTGGGACCATGCTGGCAACTGCCTTCTGAGCTGCATCTTCCAGATTGCTGGCAGAAGTGATTGGCAGTCCACTCTCATCCAAGATGCGCTTGGCTTCATTAACATTGGTTCCTAGAAACAGAAAGGGAACAAAGGATGTTGGATAATAATAGGTAATAATTAAACAACATGCTCGCATCCCTTGGAAAACAGTAGGTTTTGCAGATTAAAATAATGCCCTGACAAGAAATTCACTTTATGCAAGGCAAACAAAATATTGTTAATTTGTTAAAATGCTGAAAAGAAACTGCTGCAAGTGCTTTTCCATCATACTTTGCAAAATGAGTTTGGATGCAGATTCATACTGTAGTGACCCATCTCCTCCTTGGAAGCAAAAACACACCAAATCTAAATTGGGACTGGGGAGCAAGCTGTCTGCAACACCTAGATCCTGGGTTTCAAAAACATGGCCCCCAGTAAATTTCTACCTTATAACCATTATTTTCTGATTCAAAAGTAAAATACTGCAGATGTTGGAAAGGTGAACTATAAACAGAAAGTGCTAGAAATAATAAGCAAGTCAGGTATGATCTGGAAAGGGGGAAACAGTGTTAATGGGTGGAATTTAATCCAGACAACAGGAATCTCACTGGCTGAATGAAATGCTGGTGAGAGTCCAGCAGCGGTTCTTTTGGGGAAGGCCTGCTACATCTCCAAGAACAAAGCTGTGAACTATTAAATGTCTTGTAATTTAACCTCTCCTGTTTTCCATCCTATCACAGACCCCACCATTTTTCTTTCTCCTGACCTTCCCTCTGTGCTTGTTCAAAACATATTACATTATTAACTTGGCCCAGTTCTGTTCGAAGTCCATCAACCTGAAACACTGGATGAAAATTAATGACTACCTTCAAAGTGAGTTTGAAGGCAAGAGTGGGGAGTGGAGTTGAATGGGGACCCTTGCTTATGTGCCAATTAAGTTGGGATGGTAAGGTTCGTGGATAGCCTTCCTTCCCCAATACCAATTACACAAAACAGACGTTAAACAAATTTTAATCTCAACTCATTACAAACCAGAATGGAGTATGCATTTCTATCAAGAAAAGTCCCATTATTAAATAATATAGTTCTAATATATTGCTATCTCACATATGCAAAGCTAACCTGTGCAACCTCATATGGAAACCTTTAAATAAGTACCACAATTTATCTTAGGTTAAAATAAGGTTGGTCTTCAATGAATATCTGCTGCATGTTAATGACATAGAAAACCCCATCTGTAAAATGAACTTGATGCATCATCAACAATAAAATGACATGTTTTGTTTAACCACCATGATTTGGAAAATATACTCCAACTTTGAGTACAAATACCAAATTGTACACCAAAGGATAATTACTGTTCAAAATATGAACAGCAAAAGAAAAATACACCTGTAAATCATGAAAGACATTTCTAGAATAAAACTATTCCACTTTTGTCAAAGTCTCAAGTGGCTCACAAAAGACAAATACACACTTGGATAAGGTACAGTTAATCAATGGAGAAGTCAATTGTCAATCACAGCTCTCAGTCTAGCATTTTTTGAGAAAAGAAGCAGGCTTACTGAAACAACTTAGATTTAGTATTTAGGCTGACATTCTGACTACCTGCTTCACTGCAATAAATTGTCACGACTTTGGAATAATTGTTTGAATGTGAGAAATACAACAAAGCCATGTGTTGGAGGGTTTTCAAAGCTTCATTCATGCAGAACACTGAAGCTTGAATAAACTGGCTTCTGGGGAAAGGAAATTATGGTTAAAACAAGCCAAAGGAAGAGGCAAAAGGAACTTCAAAGTTTTGGAAAACTAAAAAGGTTTCACAGTTTTAACCATTTGTTACAATCATGTGTAGAAATATTTTGGTAACATATTTTTAATTACAATGCAACTGATTTTGTTTTTTTTTTCATATTTAATTTCATAAGCAGGAAAAGAAATCATTAACATTCACAATTCTGGTCCAAAGGCTCTTGTCATCTGATGTGCTTTTGCTATTGACCTTTGTTCTTGCGTTGGACTTTTTTTTACAAGAAGAATTTCCACTTAGTATTGCTGTTGGGCAAAAAGATCAACCTCACTTCAAAGAAAAACCTCTGCATTGAAAACTGTCAGAGAAACTAGTGTATTTTTCGGTGTGTCCTCATTGCTGTCATGTTCTGAGAATTTTAGAGCTGTTTTCTGAATGTTTACAAATGAAACCACAACACTTCAATATGAGATAATTTCTTAAAGACAACCAAGTTCTTTTTGCAGAATTTTGGACTTAAAGCTTCTGTATAAATTTGTTCAGATCAGGGAATGAAGCACACTCCACTGCTCTAGGCTATTAATATACTCTGGTCATTATCCAGCTAGCTCCTTCCAGACAAGTTGCATATTAATAACATTCCATGTAATGTTTCTAATGGTATCAAAGCTGATATCATTGTGATCCGGATTGCTTGAAAGTCATACTGATATGGGAGTGACAATGGGCAGCAGACTATGTTACTATATCTGGGGTCATTCCATTGGAGTCAGAAAATTAGATTACTAAACCATGATCGTATTTGATATTAAACCAGGATTTACATCAAATTTACCTAACATTAAAATCTCAAAGCATGATTAACCAACATATAAAGATAAGAACAAAATTGAATTTTCCATTGTTGAAAGTAAATGTGGGTTAGGTAGCCACTAATATGACACTCGTTGCCAAAATAACTTTATCTATCCTGCTCCAATCAACTCATTAAGAGCTAATAGGCAAATCTCAGGCAAGCCTCTCAGCCTATAGCAGGTCTCAACGCTGGTGCTTTTGGTCACTAGAGCTGCCAGCTAATTGGAGGCCGGCAGTTCTGGGTCCTGAAGACTGGTTGGTTGAAGCCTACTCTTTGGGCAATTTAGCAGCGAGATGGCAACTTTTTTTTTCTTTCGGTCATGGCGAGAGTAAGGTGGAAGTAAAGGTAGATGGAGGCAATTGGAACCCTAGCTTGTAACCCATGAGGCAGGTCATCCCAATTTCCAGTGGGCAATCCAGTTACTTATCTCGCCTGCCAGGAAGACACATAATAAGGGAACGGTTGAGTTGAATCCCTTTAATGGCCATTAGTTAACCACGTAAGGGGCATAATTTATGTGTATCTGTGTGTTTGTGTGTCATGACAGGGCCAACTTGTTTAATTATTTCTCCCTCCTCCCCCTCTAAGGAGGGGATAACATCCTGAGACGGTGTTCTGTGAAAGAGAAAATGCCTTGTGTTGCCCAATCCATGCAAACCATCTATTGTGATGAAATGTGCAAGATTCAATGTTAGAACCTATGGAAGAATTATGTAAATGGTCAGGCCAAGAAAAATGCAGAAAACCATATGAGTAAGAAATAAAATGGTGAGTATTAATTCAAATAAATTTTATATATGACAACAGCACTTTTTATTATGTTAGGATGTCATAAACATTCTGCAAGTATTGATCAACCTCTGAAATAGTGACATTGTTGTAAGGTTGGAAAGATGGCAGCCAAATGACACATTGAAAAGTCCCACAAACAGTACTGAAATAATGAGCAGACAACGTGGGGATGTAGTCTGTGGAATAAATATTCATCATGATGCAAACAGATCCCCTACCCTGCCTCAAATGAGCCACAGAATCTTTTAAAAAAAAACCCAAAAGAACTGCGGATGTTGGAAATCAATCGTTTACATCTGCGTATGAAGGCTTTTGTTGAATGTGTCATCTGAATGTTAGCACCTCTGAAATGCAGCACTGACCAGTACTGCACTGAAGTGTCAGACTATGTTTCAGTCTCTGGAACAGCACTTGAACCCATAGGCTTCTAAATGAGAAGAGTGAATGCAACTGCAGAGTCAAGGCTAATACTAGTGAAATGTGACATTTTGATACAGAAGGGATGATGGCAAATAGATATAGACATAAAGAAGTTTCTTTAAAAACAAATTATTTTATGGCACACAATGCATAAGGGTAAAAAAGACATTCTATAAAATTTAATGTCAATCCAATCATTACTAACAATAACCTGTTTATTGTATGCAAGTAAGTATGTTATGCAAAAAAAAATTATTGATACAGATTTGCCAATCCTTATCAACTGTACTGATGCTAATTTTTTTGCTTATCATGCAATCTAGACTTTTTGTTTCTGGGTCTTTATTTCTCTAGTTGATAGCTTTATAGCTTAAATACAGCTGGACTAACAGGTGGAGAAAGAGACTGAAGATCAAACCTTTGAGTCTTTTAAGACTTGCGTTCAGAGAATACACCGCTATGTATTACATCAACAGAACCGCACTGGGCGTATCAATGACTCAGGAGGTTTGTTGATCTCCACCGGTATTGAATCGTCAAGTGCAATCTTTCTATGCGTGACAAGTAGTGGGCCTTTTAGCCACAACTGGAAACCTATTCAATCTTCTTTAAAGAAAATGGCAATGTGATCACTTTGAAAAGGTTTTAACCCAGTTTGTTGCACAGTCATTAATCTGATGAATTGGAGAGGGAGGTGAGATTTGGCTTGAGGAAACAAGATGGAAAGTCAGGTTTATAAAGTAAAATTGTGAAGATTCTAGAGGGGACCGAAAGAGAAGGAAACAGAAAGACAGTCAGAGAAAAGCATTGATACTAATTATACATACTACAGACTCATATTTGAAGTTGTGCCTGGAAGAAATTGAAGATCCTGATAGACCTGAGCATTCCTTCACGCTGAATAAACACAATACACTAGGCCTTGATGTTTTTCTGTTCCTGAATGAACAACCCCCTATACGTGGATGTCATAGCAGTAAACCCATGATCAAACATGCGTAAAACTAGCAGAATTTCAATATTTACATCCTTCCCAACAAGTGGCACAATTAGACAGTGCCTGCTGAGCTGACAATCGTTCAGACCAGCAATATAAAGAGGACCAAAACACAGCAATTAATAATGCAAGCATAAAAATACACACATTCATTTATTTATAGACTTGTCACATCACTCAAAAACATCTCATAGTAATATGAATCTAACGAATTATCCTACAACAATTTTGCGTAAAGGTGGAGCAAGCTCATATAAACTAAACTGAACTGAATT